CGGGTCCTAGGCCAGCTCGCCTCTTCTGCCGTCTTCTCGGAGCTCGGGGAGAGAGTTTAGAGAGGCAGGTGTGGACCGGGTGCAGGCTGCCCTCCCGCTGTCTGTGCTGCTTGGGGCAGGCCTGCCGTGGAGGGGACCCCGGTCCCCTGACATCCTCCGGTGTGACCTCAGGAAGTCGTTCCTTTTCCACTATGTTTACCGTCCTCCTCAGGGAAGCTCCTTCCGGGAGCGCTTCCTGCCAGGCGCTCTGGGGATGATCCTCGGAATACTTCCAGATCTCCCGTGACGCGTGTCCGCGTAAGAATCCCGTGACTTAGGTCGAGGGGATGTTTTTGTCCCCACCTTACAGATGGAAAAACTGAGGCTCGGGGCTGGGGAGTGTGGTGTTACCGTTGCTGGCCCGCCTGGGTCTCAGCTCCGGCATCCTTGACCTGGCGACGCCCGCCGGGAATTGTGCAGAGGCCCAGCCCCGGTGGCCCTTTATGTGTGCGTGCACTTGTTCATTCTTTAACCACACGTTCGGCGCCAGGCGTCAAAAAGATGATGACAGGTCCCCCGCCTTCAAGAAAGGTGTGCCGAGGGGCCACCTGCCCCTTTCTCGAGGATCCGGAGAGGAGAAGGTCTTGAGGCTTTTTTTCAAGCTTTTTTCGCCCTGGAAAGTTGCACATGGAGTCTAACCCGTGACCTTCCTGCTGCAACTTAAATCTTCACCGCTTCGTCCCGTCCTGCACGAGAAAAGCACCCACTGCCCCGCTTCACGGAAGGGCCCCACGGAGACACATGGCCACCACGGCCGCCCCCGTGGCCTTACTCTGCGACTCCCTCTCCGGCTCCTTCTATACCCAGCTCAGAATCGCTCTCTGATCTGCATACAGTGTGGTAGGAAGGGAACCCACGCCTTCTGTGTAAAGGTTGCTAAGCCCTTACATTTACTCAGATAGGACCGCCCCCATTTCATAAAACTAAGACCCAAACAGAGAACGCCCCTGGTCCACAACAAATCAGTGACCGGGCCAGGCCCTGAGGGAGATCAGGGACTCTCGCACCAGTGCTTTGGGCTGTCTCCTGCCCGTCCCCACGGTGCAGCCCACCGTCTTCCACTTGTGGTCCACTTGGACCATGGGATTGTTTTTCCCCTGCCCTCCCCTATTTCTTTATCTGTTCTTGTCTCAGTTTCCACTTACAGTAAACTCTTCTTGTGGGTTCTTTATATGCCGGGGCCTGGTGTGAACTCTTTGTGTATAGACATGTTTAACCCTTCCAGTAACCCTTTGAAGGAAGTCGCGTTATATGAGGGGGGTTTTATTATTCCCCCTGACCCTCATTTTGCAAGGAAGGTTCCAGAAGGAGCTACCTGGGGTAGCAGAGCTAAGTGCACAGCTGGTCTTGGAATGCAGGTAGAAGGGACAGTCGTTCCTGACGAGGCCTCCGTGCCGCTCCCCCCCAGGTGGGGGGAGATGTTTCAGGGATATTTTTTCTCTCCCCCAGACTACAAAGGCCCTGAAAGGTCACGATCGGGCCCCAGCAGACAGACGGTTAGTGTTCAGTTTTGAACCCGGTTAACTTTTCCCTGTCTCGTGTTGGTGGGGGGATTCTTGGATGTCCCCAGACCCACTTCCCTGCCCTCTGACCTGATGGGCTCACTCTGAATTTCCTTCCCATTCACTACAGCTTTTTTTTTTTTTTTTTTTTTTTTTTTTTTTTTTTTTTTTTTTTTTTTTGTCCACTTTGTTCAATACCAGCCATTATCCCAGCCACCCAGGAGCTTTTGCAGGGCCCCCGGCAGGTGCCAAGCCCCTTGTGTGTGTAGCTGGTTCTAGATGGAGTTGTGTGAAGGGGGGGGTCCCTGGCCCGGCTTTGGGGATCCCACCACCCTGCTCCTGGGAGTTAACACCTCGTGAGTAGATGGTCCCAAGACAGCCCCAGCCCAAGAGACTCTGCTGGCTGGAGTGACCGGGGGGGCCCCCCGGAGCACTGGGGATGGGGATTGGCCCCACGTCCGGGAAGCAGGGAGGCACCTGCAGGGAGGGAACACGGCGTGTGCGGAGGCGAGGACGGGGGAGACGGATGTCCCGACTCGGGCAGAGCCTGCCGGAGTGGGGAGAGGAAGCTAGGGAAGTCGGTACAGGCAGGTTGGAGAAGGCGGTCGGCCCCGCAGCGCGGGCTGACCTCCTCCCAAGGGTGAGCCTCCACCCGCTGTGTGGGAAATAGTCCTGCCCATGGTACCACAGTGCTCCCTCATCAGGTCGGGACTCAGTGAGAGGACGTGCCCTGAGCTGAGGAAGAGTGTCGCCCCTGTCCCAGTTACTGGGGGGGGGGGGG